ATTATAATAATTCTAAACAATATGATACATACCCAATCTTCTTTATTATAATAATTCTAAACAATATGATACATACCCAATCTTCTTTATTATAATAATTTTAAACAATATGATTCATACGCAGTATTCTTGATTATAGTAATTTTAAACAATGTGTTTCGTACTCAATTTCTAAGTCAATAGGACTCAAATCTTTTAAAATCCATCTACAGTAGGAATTTAGTTCTTCAACCTTTCCCTTCTTCTGAGCAACTCTGATTGTGGGTGGTAGTACCCATGGCAACAAGTCAAAGAATGAAACGTTTCTGCTCCAGTCCACCAAAGTGCTGTGTAGAAGATAGTCTTCTAGTTGATGAGAAGCTTCAGGAGTGGCAAAAATAGAAACTGGAAACTGATCTCTCTGAATAAAGAGTGAAAACAGTTGTCAGGTAAATGTTCAACAATGGTGCTTTCTTTCAATGGTTAACATAAAAAACTATTCTTTAACAACAATGAAAAACAATGGTACTTTTTCTGAATAGTTAAAATCAAAAGGATTCTGTAAATGTTTACTAACAACAAAGAACAACAATGGTGCTTTATCTGGATTGTTAACATATAAAGGATTATTTAAATATTTATTAATGGCAAAGAACAACAATGATAATTTTCTCTGAATAGTTAACATAAAACATATTCTTTAAATGTTTACTAACAGTAACAAAAAAACAACAATGGTGCTTTCTTCCAATGGTTAACATAAAAAACTATTCTTTAACAACAATGAAAAACAATGGTACTTTTTCTGAATAGTTAAAATCAAAAGGATTCTGTAAATGTTTACTAACAACAATGGTGCTTTATCTGGATTGTTAACATAGAAAGGATTATTTAAATATTTATTAATGGCAAAGAACAACAATGGTACTTTCTGTAGATGGTTAACATTGAAAGGATTCTTTAAATGATTACTAACAATAATGTCGCTTTATATGGATGGTTAACATAAAAATACATTCTTCAAATGTTTAATAACAACGGAGAAAAATCTGGGGTAGCCTTCAATTTCAAAGTGGAACAGACATTTATCTGGTTATCAACAAGATGATTTAGAACACCGTAATACATTAACAGGGCGGTAAGGGCGCAAGACTTTACTAACTTTTTACGAATCGTTGGATATTTCATTAAAATAGGCCACAAAAGTATACTAGGAATCAACATATACTTTATTAACAGAATTGCACACCAATACATAAAGTAAGCATTGCATTTATATTTTCTATACTCTTACACATATAACTTTATTAATGATGTTAATTTAAAAGGGTCGTAATTAATTTTCAAACTTTTATTACAAATAAAACGTGGATTTTCTATTCGAATATACTACGAAATATTCTGTAAACACAACAAAAAGTATCTGTTAATTTTTCAAAACTGACATTTAAATTTATTATTAACATTACACTGAAGAAACTTCAAATATAAATCTGAGAAGCTTAGATAGTGATTAAAATAGCATGTAAACCTTACAAATATTCTACACTTAGAAAGTGAGAATATGATTTAAATAACTGCGAGTTGTTTTCCACACAATTCTGTGCACATCAGTTTACATATTATTATACCTCCTTCTGTTGCGAATCTGGCCATAAAACGACAAGAGTGCCCCTAGTGTCCTCTTGAGGAATTAACACTTTAAAGGCCTTTATCCGTCCCAAGAGTATCAAACGTATCATATTCATCACCTTGAAAACAATAGAAACTGTTTGTTAGAAATTAAAGTCGAAGTATTTATAATCAAACATTACTCACAACTATATTTCTCTATGTATATTTTCAAATTAGTTTGTTAATCATGATAATAACTTTTTTTTATTAAAGCGCTTTTGTTTTTTTCTTTTATTCGTTTATACAATATTATGTTAATAAGATTATAGATTTGACACTTACAGCAACAGAATAAGGTAATCTTTCCTTAAGCTCGTCCAGCAGGCCTGGTAATTCTTCGAAGACCGCCTCGACTAGCATTTTGATCAGATGGTAAGATGTAGCTACAATAAATATAAGAAGATTAAAAATGGAGCTTTTTATGGTAATAATGTTGATTAACACATCGGAATATTTCGTACATTGTACAATTTATGTTACACAATAAAATAACAGTATATAAAGATAATCTCCATATAAATTGTTTAGTATTTCCCAAAGATAATATCCATGTTAATTATTTAATATTTCCCCAATTAATTTCCATGTTAATTATTTAGTATTTCCCAAAGATAATTTCCATGTTAATTATTTAGTATTTCCCCAATTAATTTCCATGTTAATTATTTAGTATTTCCCAAAGATAATATCCGTGTCAATCATGTCGTATTTACCTGTCTCCGGTGGAACAGCGGTAAGTGTACGGATTCGCAACGCTAAAATTCGGGGTTCGAATTTCTGCGGCAGATAGCCCAATGTGACTCTGCTCTAAAACAAACAAACGTATTTACCTAAAGATAATATTTATACTAATTATATTGTATTTCCCTAAATATAATATTCATACTAATTATATTTTATTCCCCTAAGTGTAATCTTCATGCTACTTAGTTTGTATTTCCCCAAAGATAATCTTCATGGTAACTGTTTTATGTTTCCCAAAGAAAACCTTCGCGTTAGTAGTTTCCAAGTCTGAAGAAGACATATCATGCAAAAAGATCCACCTTTCGTAAACGCTAGGTATATAAGGTTTCCCATTTTTCTCTTTAATTGATTTTTTTATGAACTTATGTGTTTTCTTTACATCACTGATCTCTACAAAATAATAATTTATATTATGCTTATAAAGAGTTATTTGTCAAGCAGAATTAACATTGTTTACAATTCTTAAACAAACTGTATTCCCCGTTTTACTGTCTTTCTCAAGTTAAAAACTTTTCTTAATCAAAGATTTGAAAACTGGTCGCCAGATGATATCATAGAAGTAATCATCGCACTTCTAAAATTAAATATATGACAGAACTAATCTTCATTTTATCCGAAAATCATACACATCTTAGAAGTAATCTTTCATTGTTACACCAAAACTAAATATCCCAGAAACTGTCATCTATTGTTACCCCAAAATCATACATATCATAAAAATAATCATCCACTGTTACCCCAAAATCATACACATCTTAGAAGTAATCTTTCATTGTTACACCAAAACTAAATATCCCAGAAACTGTCATCTATTGTTACCCCAAAATCATACATATCATAAAAATAATCATCCACTGTTACCCCAAAATCATACATATAGTAGAAGTAATCTTTCATTGTTATTCCAAAGTCATACATATCATAAAAGTAATTTTACACTTCCATTGTTACCCTAAAGTCATACATATAGTAGAAGTAGTTTTACACTTCCATTGTTACCCTAAAGTCATACATATCATAAAAGTAATTTTACACTTCCATTGTTACCCTAAAGTCATACATATAGTAGAAGTAATTTTACACTTCCATTGTTACCCTAAAGTCATACATATAGTAGAAGTAATTTTACACTTCCATTGTTACCCTAAAGTCATACATATAGTAGAAGTAATTTTACACTTCCATTGTTACCCTAAAGTCATACATATAGTAGAAGTAATTTTCACACCTGTATTGTTACCCTTAAATCATACATATAGTACAAGTAATTTTCACACCTGTATTGTTATCTCAAAATCGTACATTTGCAACTTTAAAAAAGCATTATAATAATTTCTGTAGCGACTTTAAAAATATGTCTTATAATTTTAATATAATTCTGTTCTCATTCATAAATAGGCCTGTGCATATGATTGTCACAGAAGCCTAACATTAATGGATTGTTTTTGATTAACGACGTAAGAAATAATTCTAGTTCGTATAAACCACTAAAATGTTAAATTTAGAAAAAGTTTGTCAGAATATTTGCTAAATAATAAGAAGTAACTTATAAAATTTGACGTAAAACCTGACGTTTTAATGACAGAAATGTTATATTCTTTCATTCAGTGCCAACTTGCTGAGTAATATCGCTCAGTTTCAACACAGTGATGGCATCTGTATAAAAGAAACCACTGAATCTGTTTAACAAACGCCATGCCTACAAGTTGATTTATTAATACTCAAGTTACTCGCAGAAGCGTGCACGTGAGAATCAACAGTTACAAAAAATTCAATTTACTACCTCCGAAACACGAAGAGTTTGCCGGAACTCGGACCAGTTGTCAGTCTTTCACAGTTTCTAGATGTTTGGAATTCATAGAATATGTATGTTTATCGACGTTTAGAAAATGGTTGTACTTACTACTCACTTCTTTAACCCTGATATTTTCGCTTAAACTTTTGTCAGGACTTGATAAAGATGAAGAAATTAGTTACGTGATACAGAGTTTTCCTGAGCCTTAGCTTGTTGAGTAAGTTAAAATACCTTCACTATCTCTAAGTCGTGAGATGAGCACTGCTTTGTGTACGGTCATTAGTAGTTTGTAATCAATCGCACATGTTAGAAAATGCGTTTGCAAATGTGACCACCAGAGTAAAAGTTTGGAGTAACTGGTCTGTGCCGGTTCTCCTTTGTAGCCTAGACGATATTTATTGATCTTCACCATAAAAGCTTATATATTTTCTCTGGAGTCTGCGTGGTTGAAATGACGAGAACCAAGTGCTCAGAAATGCTGATCGAACGAGCATTTAAGACAGACCTGTTCCTTTCATAAAATAACTACAGCCTTATCAGCTGCATTCTTAAAAGTGGACAGTTTCTAAAGGAAATGATTTATCGACTTCTATCCACTAAGTTACCTAGGAAACTTCCTCCTAAACTTAATCTTTATGAGCATCACTAACGCGTCAAGTCACGCTGAAAATCATTTTTTTTCTTCTAATTCTTGAAGCATGAAGTCATCCATAGAGCCTAAACGTATTTCTTGCAATGGTCGTAAAATCACAAATAAAATGATTAAAAAGAGTTACATTAAAGAATCCATTTTTCTATGAACCTTTGTTTTCAATATTTCTTTTGTTACTGAACTGTAAACCGCCGAGAATCGAACGCCACATTTTAGCGTTGTAAATCCATAAACTTACTTCTTCTTCTACCAGAGGGCCGAAAAAGAAGTAGTTTTTTTTTTAAAGTTTATGTATTTTATGAACACATACTAAAATTTTGTCTTAAAACGGTGTTGAATATTAATAAAACTGAAGAGAGAGATTATATAATAGAACGTTGATTATTAATGAAGGTTTTCATATGTCATTGCTTTAGATTAAAAACATAGTTGATTTATAAGTTATTGTATTTATTTATTATTTGATGATATGTGTGTGTGTGTAATATCATTAAGTACAGTAGTGCTTAATAGTAGGGATCGTATTGAAACAAAATAGCAGCCATAAAAATCTCCTGTTTAAAACCATCTTTAAAATGTCTGAATATTAACAATGACTATTTAATAGTATTGGCTGAACAAAACTAAAGCTTATTGTACTTGTAAAGCCGCCTAAATCGCTGTTACGTGTTTATGTAGTGAATCAAAATTTCACTATTTCAACGAATTTTCATCTAAGTAAGTAACTTTTCTCGATAGGAATACAGAAGAAATGACGAACATTATCGCTCTAATTCTTTCACAGAACTCTTCCGTCTGGAATCCCGACTATTCCTTTCTTCTACCGAAAAGGATACTAGTATATATATAACTTTGGGCATATTATTAGATTTGAGAGTAGATGGGTAGAGATCCTGATCAGTAATAAAACAAATCGGTCATACACGCGCCCCACGATTGGAATTATTTATTACAAGTGTAATAAAATTGTTTAATGTTATAAGGACAATTAAAGATTGATACATACGTAATCTAGCTAGCTATAGAAATATAGAAAGTTTTAATGCTACAAAATGTATTGAAACGGGAAATTCAAAACTACAAAAACTGATTTACTTAAAATATAATAAAAATTTCGTTTGAACTTCGCGCGGAGCTACACGAAGACTATCTGCGTTAGCCGTCCTTAATTTAGCAGTGAGGGAAGACAGCTAGTCATTACCACCCACCGCCAACTCTTGGGCTACTCTTTTAACAATGAATAGTGGGATTGACCGTTACATTATAA